GATGCGTATATAGTATACCGGATAACTACAGAACTATAAAAATTCTCTAAGCCAAGCGCGCGTGTGTGTTCTTCCTTTACACAACAGTTTTAAATATTTTTTCTCACAGAAAATCGAGATATTATTGTGACCAAGAATTCTTATCGATTAATATGGAAAAATTGCGTCAAAGCAGCAGGCTTTTAAAATTTTATTTATTTATCTAGCTAGTTAGTTAGGTCTCTCTTTTAGATTAAAAAAAACTTATTTCCATATTACTGTACATGAATTTGTTGATAAGAATAAAAGAAAAGATAAGTGCAATGAAAGGTATCCGTTTTTTCTCCATTTTAAGAAAAACTAGTTATTTTATCAAGGCGTGTGAAAAAAATCATGTGAAATCTGCTTCCACAAATTAATGACACTGTTAGAAAAAAATATTAATGACATCCTTTCATGTACACGTGCATTCCACACTGCACGCTTTTCAAGATCTGCCTAATGAATAGATCGGTCCCCATGCCTGGGCATTGTGTCACGCGAGTGGAAAAAAGAGTCCTATTTCCGATCCAATCGTCAATTAGATGTGTCTTTTGTTGAAATGTTCGGCTGCATCCTAGTGGAGTCCTCGATCCCGTGGGAATTTGGTGATGGAATATTGGAAATCGGTGTTTATATTGGAATCTAGGGTTAGAAAAGATTTAATCTTTCCGGCATAAATATTTTTTCTTTCCTTTTTATCGTCGTTTGATGCATGGTCAGAACAATAAAGCAGGGAAATTAGCATGATTCTGGAAGTCTGTATTATAAAGCCAACTTTCTGGGGACACCACAACGGTTTCTTCCGCAATGGTCCGAAGAAAGATACCTTATATCACTACAACATAATTTTATTCAGGAAGAGGGAAACAAGATAACTTCCAAATTTGTTTCGTTGATTGGGTACTTTACATTTCAAGTTTGGGTTTCCCCCCAAGTTAAGTCGACTTCCACATTACCCGGTAATTTCTTTGAGATGGTGTCGCTTTCTTACAGTTATTTTTGCCATTAACGTTAAGTGCATTCTTTGTCAGGTTTCGTCTTTGAAGATTCCTATCTGTGAGATTTGTACACAATAGCTCTGGTTACTGGGTAACGGATTTTAAATCTCCTCGTCGCTCTTACTCAATTCCTTTGTAAAGAAAATGGCGGGAAACGTCTCAGGTGTGAGTTAGATTAACCGCACACATGGGCTTTGTTTGTTTTTGGCAAGGCTAAGGGTTGTCAAAAGTTTGATCTTGAGACAGGATGGATACAATGAAAGATTAACTCTAATAAGATTTATACTCCAAATTGTCATTGGTGGTGTTTGTTTTCTTGAGTAAATACGGATCTATGTGATAAAGTCTGGCCTTGTGCCGCGAGATAAGGTGACAATGTTAACAATTGGAAATTCCTAAAGACAGCTAGTGTTTTATACATGTATCAATTAATTCTTCCATATTTATGAATGTTTGATTTACGAAAATATTTTTTTTAAATTTGCTGTATTCTTCTTCACGAGTATTCGATCATCTATATTTTTCAACTTCAAAAGAAAGACAAAAAAGTAAATGATACATGGTATGAAAAGGTTAAGAAAACACACAATAATCGATCTAAAAAATCCCTACAAATTATACAAATCTGTGAATATGGCACAAAACAATAAAACGCAGATTCCAGAGGTGGGATCGGGTGCATAAGAGGGGTAAGCATCCCCTGTTGACCGATCACATCAGCACGAATCTCCGATAGGAGGGAAGAAAGAATGAATGACACTGTGAAAGATATAGATAGATTCTTTATTTCCAAATCAGGGCCCTTTCAGGCATCACATTAAACAACAAGCATGATTCATACAATTACAAGCAGCACATGCATATTATATGTACAAAATGTATACTATTAATCTACAGAACATATCTTTGTATATAGTTAAACACTGTATATGCAAATAATATTGATAAATAAAATAGTACTACCGTGTACCCTAATGCAAAGTCAGTGATATTTTACAATCCTCACTACTAGGCGATGTAAAAGTACTAACTACATGTATTGCAATAAATTAAATGTTTTGTTGTTAGTTTTTTTTTTTACACACACATATTTTATATGTACTTTAATATTTAAAAAAGTTCTAATATACCTTTATATGAATTCATATTTTAAATGGTTTGTCTAGCTAGTTCACAAACAACAGAAACCAATTCAATATTTTCACTGATTAGAACCCACAACAACTATAGTTTTCATTATTTTATTCATAAATGAACAACATTGATATAGTGTGTTTGTATAATATTCATCATATTCTCTCTTGCTGTTGTATAATATTCATCATATTCTCTCTTGCGGCAACCAGACACATGCAATGTATTGTTAACAATGTCATTCTAACAAGAAGAGAATTTACAAAAAAAAATAATGATAATAATTTACGAAGATAATTTACATATTCTATAAGACAAAAATTTTTTTTCTGGATTTTATTTTTATTTTTGCAGCAATGCATGCAATTAAGAGAGTAAAATACTGATACTGATCATACAACATATAATTTACATGCAGAGCTTTCATCTGATCTGCGAGCTAATTTGGATGCATTTTACTTTCATGTTTTTGAATGAGACAACTTATATTAATTCAAAAACATATACACGAATAAGAATAATACATAAACAATAAACGTTTTTATAATTTTGCATAAGTTGAGAGTGAGGTTTCATTTGATTTTGGGTATAAGCAATGTAAAGAATTGCGCAACTCTTCCATTTTTACCTTGGGTAAGTCAATTGCAAATGAATTAATGTCACATGCGGGAATTTCATTTTTGCTTTTTTTTTTTTTTAATAAATAAAACTGATTTTTCCGCATTTAACAAAAGTTTTATTAAGGCCGAGATTCTAAAGACTTAAGAGGAATCACAAAATCGTGAAATCCATTAAAATCTCATCGTTAGTTTATCTCACATCTACACGGCAAAGTAAGCAAATCACCTCAAGGTGTAAGTTTGCGGTTTGAAAATCGCCGACAAATTGAAAATCTGCTAATCGATTTGATAAGACGATTTTCACAAGCCGATGGTTTCGGTAAGATAGTCGTTTGTTTTCTACTACTTGTATTGTCGGTATCTCGATTGATGTCAAGTAAATAACATTACCCGTTAATTCTAAAGCAAACATGGATTAGTATTTCCGGAGCTGGAAAATTATTTGTGATATCACAAAGTAGCCCGGCCTCTTGATGATTCCCTCGATCTTGTTGACTGTCATTTTTCAAAATCTTTTTTCAAACTAAGAAATAAGAGGCAAGGTCTTAATAACAATAGCAAAGATTTAAAAAAAGCCAGTTAAACCTTTTATCCCTGCTCACATGTATTTTTTTTTATCTATACAAAATTTTATTCACATAAGTGAATGGGATTGGGCAGCAGGCAAAGCCTATTTTAGCCCTCTCCCTAGAAGGTCAAGATGAACACACAATATATAGGTATGAAAATAAATAGACAAACATAGTAACAAAGAAACAAGAAAAAAAAAGAGTAGATAGAGAAAAAAATTGCAATGTAGTACCGGTTAGAAAGTGTTGGCAGAAGTAACATACATGGCAGTGTCAAATAAAACGTTTGGTTGCTGCGATGAAAGCATGTACTGCTTCAAATATTTGAATATTAATACCTAGTCCATGATTGGGACTACCATACAAAAATAAATCAAGTTCATGAAGTTGATCACAATCAATAATATTTTGGATTGTTTGGAAAAGTACATTTTTTGGAGAACTATATTTTGGACAAGCAAAAAATAATGATGAGCATCTTCAACAGAGTCAATACAGTATTCACACATTGGTGTTTCTGTTAAAAATTGGATATATAAGTCTGCCTTTAAATTACTTGCATTATTTCGCAACTGACAATGTATTATATTGTACTTTCTTATTCCAAAATGATAAATTTCTTTACCTTTTTTACAAAAATAAGAATTTAAAAGACCTTTGAATGAAGAAATTCCAGGAGCATTTCTGATATAATCAGGCAAGTTATTCCACGGTTTAACAGTTGATGAAAAGAAACTTTCCATATATGATGTAGTTCTAATAGAAGGAATTTTGAATTCTGCATCATTTCTTACATTATAGGGATGGTTTGTAGGACGAAAAGGTACAATCAAGTCATTTAAATATTTAGGTGAATAGCCATTTATGATTTTATAAAATAGTAGCAATTTATGAATACTAAGTATTTCTCCTAGTTTGTAAAAGATCCCACCCTAATTCAACATACAATTTTGATCTAGATGAAATTGATCTTAAACCAGTAATGATTCTACCTGCTTCTACTTGGATATATATTCTAAAAGTTTTGCATCTTTTTCAGAACAATTGTCCCAATTGCTCACATGTACAACATGTAAAGCATAGTACTTCCGATGATATAGTTCGGTTTTTTATTAACTGAAATCTTTTTTTATTCAGTGGAAATAAATACAAACCTGTATTTACATGATATACATGTACATGAATATGATTGTAAAACAAAGTTATCATTAATAATTTTTTTTTTCTTGTTTACAAAATTCATTGAATTCATTTTAAAATGGCAAATGTGGAGGTAAAAATAGATTTGTAATTATGTTGTCCGAATGAATAGAGACGGTAAAATGATTAAATAGCGTAGTTGAATATTTTATCTGTGAGTAAACATACGTTTCATTCATTGCACAGGTAAACGAGGATTCCTACGAGTTTTCCCACGGTATCGTGCCTTCTGTCACAAAACTATCGGCGCTACTTTCAACATCTGCCGAGATTTTTTCAACATTTGTTAATTAAGGCAAAAAATTAAATAAAAAAATACGATTTATTATGCTTGAATAATTTTATGTATTTATTTAATTTTTAAACAATTTTAGAGTATTCATACATATGCAGAGAGCGTGTCAATCAAGAACTATTTTGTATCGCGGATGAGTAGGAGTGGCTACGATTACTACTCGAAAAGTATATATAAACGATCGGATTTTAGCGGTTTAATCAAAACGTGGTATTTAGACTTAGGGAAGAAGGAAAGGGATATACGTTATCTTTTGTATTTTGTTTTTGGAATATTCCTAACTTACAGCTGTGAGTAAAAATAAACTCTAATATTTTGTGTTAATAGTTATTTTGTATTATATTAACTTGAATTATACAATGTTTAATCAAATTATTGAATTTTGCATATATCTCTTTTTGAAGACAATTTAAAATGATTTATTCTTCTCTTATTTCAGATGGTGCATTACGTTAAACGTCAAACAAGTGCTCAAATGGTGGCCAAGCAGCACCTGAAACTTCACCTGAGAAGAATCAGAAACAGGGAGTACTCCAGGCTCAGGGACATGGTGCCATCTATTGCTAAAAAAGACAAAATCTCCAAGGTAAGCTATCAGACTGTGATCTTAGGGAAGAGGACATAAAAATCATTTCACGACTCGATTCTTAGGAAATGGCATGCTTGTGAAAGTGTAAATAAACTTTTGTAATACAATTTAACTTTATTATACCCCAAGGGAACCAAATGGTCATTACAAACTATTTACTTTAAGTTAATGTCTGTATCCCGCAGTGTTAAACCGTTAACCCATTTTGAGATATAGATGTTATTGTACATTAGTGGTATACCTTGAATTAAATAATATTACTGACCCTTATTGTAGAAAAGGGGCTAAAATGGGCTGTCAGTGTGCCTACTGCCCAATCCCGTTCATTTTTGTGTTAAAAATTATTGTTTAAATTAAACGCTTGATCGGACGTTTAGGAAAAATCCAACCCATCTGACACATACACTGTAATAGGTTATTTGCATTTTTAATTGGACCTGTCATGGTAATCTTTACAACTTGCGAATCCTACAAGCTGTTTTGACACGACTCTAATCAGTCCTATTGAACAATATTGGTCCTGCCAAATAAGCACTGACCAATCGAGGAACGGTACATCGATAGAGATGACACTAATTATCAATAGTCCTCTCACTCGCGCTTCGACGCATCACATCTGCTATAATATGGTTGAGTTTTTCCCCGTGACCACGTGTGTCAAGGATGAACATGTGTTTCCTTTCAAATATGCCTTTGACATATTGTCTATCCTAGCATCTGTTTCATGTCTTGGTCAGAATGCGACCATCAGAGGATTACTAAGAATGTCTACGACAAAAACCATATTGTCAAATTAATATAAAGAAATTAGACGATAAACGCAATCATGAAATATTAAGGCAATATTTCGTAATCAAACTTTGCTTTTCTCTTTTTTTAAAAAATTTATCCATCCTATGTTGTCAAACTCGGTTACTACCAAATTAACAGAAATGTTCCTAAATAGTTAAAGCATTGAACAGCTGTTCATCTTGTATATTTTAAAGTTATGGCGAGGTATGCAATGTTGAGGTCACTAGGCTGTTTTTACCTGTATTTACCTGTGAAAACGAAATTGTTGACACAGGTGGAATGACTCATGCTAGGACGGAAAAAAATACAGAGAAAATGACACATTATCACATAAGCATAAGAGCTTATTCCTTTCATGCATATGCTGTTGAAGAAATTAAATGTACCTATCAAAGGCTTTGCAATTTCTTCAGTGATATAATAAATTGAGAAAGCCGTGAGGTTTGACTTTAATAGCCATTTCAATCTAAGTTATAAAGGAACGACAAAATCATGCAGACTCAGTAGAAAAATATGAAAAAGGAGCATGTTTTTATCATGACTCACCGTTAGACCGAAAAAATACCAGTCAGTTCTAACAGATGTAGTTACTTACTTTATAACAGTACCCCCAATACACAACGCCGCACTAGTCCAAGTTACCGGTAATTGTAGATTTGAAAACTTGACGCAATGCAATTACTAATGTAAAAACAACCAAAGAAATCCATATGAATTTTCGACATAATTCTTTGTTATACAGATGGTGTTTAATACGTGATGGCGAAAAAAATCAGTATCTTGAAGTTTTTAATTTGGCATTGAATTTCAGGTGACAGTCATTGAAGAGGCCGTAAAATACATTGACGAGTTACACAGAGCCCTGTTCGAGCGGTTACATTCTAAAGGTAACTTATATTATTGTAATGGAGAACTCATTACGCGGCATCGATACCCCACCAGAAAAATAATGAAAGTGTAATTCAACTCGGGGGTTCATTACTATTTTCTGTGCTGGTATAGGGGAACAAAGCGACAGGTACATTAAGTTGCTTTTAGCAATGTGTGTCAACGGATATCGTTTTTTGTTTGAAACTAATAGTGCAAATATAGTTTTCAAATGCACTATGTAAAAAAGAGAAATATAGGCGAAACGGATACTGATTAATGTGGTGCTGTTAGCTATTCAGAAAATCTAATATCATTCTTCGACACTGAAGAAAAATCCTAAGGCAACCTATCACAAAAATAGTAGCGAAAAAAATGTCGAAGCAATTAAAACTTGAGGAATAAAACTACACTAACGATAACTTCTCTTTTTTAGCAGCTGCTGGAAACAAGTTGGTTTCAGATGAACATGTCAAAGACTTTATACACACCTTAATACCAGCAGACTTGTTCTCCAAGACAACGACCTCCAACTCCACGTTTGAAAAAACACAAAGACATCCTTCCTACGTCTTACCAAAGAAACAAAAGGGGTTCGGCAAGCCGCACTAGTTCTTTGGGCCAAAATTTTCACTGTGATATAAACAAAATTAGGATGAGCTGACTGTGATATTTAAGTTTTATGAATATTATTACCAATTTGATTGGATATTTTGCCTTGTGACTTTTCCGATACCACCAGGCCATGGCGAAATGTCGACCTACCCCAGTTCTCCAACCCTCAAAGTATTGTCAGCGGCGCCTCATAGGTATAAAATTATATCTTTACAAACGAAATTTTTTTTTCATTATCTTGAAATAATTTCGCAACTACATCAACAAAGAAAATTTATTTATCATTTCTTTTTTACAGATATGGATTATGCAGAGAAACCATTCATATGCTGGTTGCCAACCAAATGGAGCTGTGGATACAAACCCATGCAAAACTAAGATTTATTCTGAGCGCATTCCGACATATTTGTGATCCAGATTAATGCTAGTCTTTTTTATGAATTATTATATTTGATATAATAAAATATTGAAAACGAATTTTATTCACGATTCTTTCTGAACGAGCGCAGACTGCAGACCAAACCGAAAGTACGTGAAGGCAAACTATACATGTACGTTCTGGAATGATATTACATGTGCAGGTATGCGAATATTAACGTCTAGTACTTGGAAGTAAAAGAAAACTGCAGTAAACCTGGACATTATATTTCTCACAAACAGTACTAGTAAAAATTTGGTCGTTGGATAGGGAAGTTACATGAACAAATTTAAATATTGGAAGGAAATTGTCAATTGTCTGAAATCCAGAGTTACATTCAAACTTGGTACCTCAAAGACGATTTGGACTGTGACGTCACTACACTGACCCCAAATTAGCGTTTTGAAGTCTTAGAATTAAAGATTGGCCACTGAAATCTAGGGTTCAAACTCAATACCCCAGAACTGCATTTTAAGTCCAAGCTTTTTTTGCCTTTCCAGATTAGGTATAGAAGTCCAGGGCTCAAACTTTTTGTTTTACACATTTATAAAGGATTTGAATTAATTTAAACTGATATTAAGTTCTGAAGTTCAAGTACATGTATATATGTTGAAAAGATTTTGAACATTTTTTTTAAAGAACAAAGGCATCACAAAGCAGGTGTCCTCGCAAAAGGCATATCCATAAAACAAGTCAACATTCGACATCGATCTAATATAAATAAATGAAAAAATTACTTTGTTTTGAACAGAACTCTCTCACTCACCTACAAACAAACATACACACACGATTGTTTTACTATATCCCCTCCAAATCCGAGGAGATAATAATGTCAAGTATAGATAAATTCCCAGTTTACATCTGCATCAAACTTTTTATAATAAATGTCATCCTCTTTAAAATTCTTTAAGTGATATAAGATTAAGATTCAAGGAATAGTCAGTTATTGTGCCAAAACTGACGCACTCTCAAACAGGTGCACTGAAAAGGAACTAACATATATATTATGGAACCAAGATTAAGGGCTAAGTTAAACACACCTGTCAATTGATTTGACGGAAGATTAAAAATGAATATATTTACAAGACTGTGTATATTACAAATATATAGCAAGGCGGCATCCACAATTTTTTTGCAGTATTTGTACACCATTTACCTCTTTACTAAGATTCCACGAAAAAATAAATTGTATGATATATGTTACCTACTGGGAGAAAAGATAATTTGGCATTTGACAGGTTTAAGCAGATTTCTCTCGATTACCATCTGTTGCCTGTGTTTATCTACTATGGCTTATATATAAGGTTTTTATCTATGAATACATAATTAGATTCCCTTTACTTACATTGTATTTTGTCAGAGTCTAGACAGCTGTGTGTTAAAATATGAAGTGCAATCAAAATTTATGAGACATTCCTCGTAGGACTGAACAGTTTATTTTCTTACCCATCAATGTTTTTTTGACGTTTAAACTCGCACCTGCTGTGATGGAATGATTTTACATAGAGTGCAAAGTCACGTAAGAAACAATTACTTATTGTCAAAATGCACCTTTGATTTAAGGAACGATTCTGGTGGCTTAAAATCGCCACAGCTGTTGGAGAATTTTACCCTTTGTCTGACTTTTAAGCGTCATGTTCAATGTTAAAAGGCAGAGACATGTCCGACATTATCTTTAGATATGTACGAATGGCATAAATAAAACGTTTCAGCTGTTTAAAAATTGTCCAATAATATTGTTAGCTTGTGTGAATCGGAGAAAAGAACGGGTTGCCAGAAATTTAAATTTGATCATAAATGTCTCTTTTTGACTTGGTCTGCATTGAGATGATAGATAGGGGATAAAAATGTAAAACAGTGACCATATGTTCAACATGAATTGTCTTTCCATATGAGTAAATATGTTATCCTCTTGACCCAACGAAGGATCAAAGATTATTTTTGTAAAAGTTTACTCTGAGGGAAGACATTCAAATGTAGACCTGATATTACTCAATCAAAGCTTTTATCTTTATCATATAAAAATATCGAGTCAGTTTAAAATGAAAACGCACTGCATGAAGTATTTTGTAAATTTTTTTTTATCCATGACAAATATACTAGTACATGCAAGAAGGTACATAATTTGGGTTTCGTTGAAAATGACATAAGATCTCATTCTGTACTCATTTTTGCTCTAATTCCAGCGACTTACCAAGCACAATATCCTAGAGAGATAAATCTTTGGTCGAATGGGCTAAAAGTCTGGCAGATGCAAATGTCATATACATCAAATACGGATGGGAATGACCACAGCTCCCGGCATATGCTGGTCCTGTGGCACGTGCCAGCACGCGCTCTTGTCAGCGTGCCTGCTTAACGACACGCGAATGAATTTAATATTGGACATAATGAAGTCTGTATGACCTATATTTCTAAGATTTGATTTATTCTGGACAAATATTGCATAAATACTGAATATATTTGATTTTTGATGGCGCTAGTCTCTCACGATAGATTTTAGCAATACTGTTCTGAAACACATGCTAATGCGACACAGGTGGTGAAGAAACAAAAGTGATGGATTCACAGGGAGAAAACATCAAAAGCAATTTTCTACTTTAAGAAAAAGCTCAAGCTCCCAAATTAAGGTACCATATGTCACCACAACTGCACATAGCGTCATCTGCTAAAATTCTCTTGGTTGAATTTTCCCGCGTAAAACCGCCAAGACGGTTGTGTGTGACGTTCTTAAATTTCATCTGTCTTCTGCATCCAGTAGAATAATGTTAAACGGTAATCGATCCTCGATACCATGTGCACGTTAGAATAAAAGAAGAAGATAGAGTCTTTAGTATTGTAATTCGTGTGAATTTGGTCATGTGTATCGGCAGATCTCGGGTGTTTATACAAAGAATGCTACATAGCTTTGATGAGGCACCGTTTTAAATTGCAATTATCCTTGGAATGAAAAGCACATTGAATATAAAAAATAACAATTCAGATTAATATCAAGCATGTGCCACAGAAACCCTGGTTTAAGTAATCATTTAATGAGTTTTGATTACTGTTTTTTTTTATCGGTGACAAGCACAACCTTTCTCGACATAGGTGAAAAAAAATCTTTTTAGTTATAAAATAATTGATTTTAAACTTGGATTTTTCTTTGCATTCTTTTTCTTTTGTATAACCTGGGTTGAGCCAGTTTACATGCTTTATAAACTGCGAAGCGGTTAAAATAATTAGTAAACTGTTCCAACTTTAATATTAGAACTCTGAAAGTTATACTAGTATTACGGTAACCTTTATTCGGTAAAAATTAATTTTTCAACCATTTAAGAAAACGTGCATGATAATTTCAAATTGACTTATACGTCGAGGCGGATTCATACCTTTTGCAAATCATATATTGTGACGAAGCTTCATAAAAATTAGGAAAAAAAAACAGTTGTATAATTTTTGTTACACAGCAATACGCGGAAATTTCTTATCTTTAAAGTTAAACTTTTATACTTGAAAGTAACTACTCGGTATCTGAAAGAAATTCAACAAACCTAAGTATAAATTTGAAAGAAACAAACAGTCCTCTAAAAGAATGAATCTCATGGATTATACAAAAGTCATTTAAAGTGTACTTATGAATCAAAAAGTTATTGCAATGTAACATTGGGTAAGAGCTTAAATACGTTCCACGACTGGACCTTTCAGTAGAATGTAAATATTTAACCGAAACTCTTACACTGTAAAGGCAATGTATTTATAATTAAGTTAATTCGCCGAGATGGAAGTTGTGTAAAGCAATCAGCATCAATGCCACGTGTTATGCGCGTGTCGATAAAACCCGTATTAGCTATTTTTCTCCGAGGTAAATGGACAAAGCCGTAGGGGCACTTAAGTTATCGCCCAATCTTTTTTTTTCTCGCCATATTGTATAAACCGCTTTTTAAAAAAAAAATGTTCGTGTTTCTGGAAATCTAGTTTGGTCTTTTTTATACCTCATGATTTTAAAATCAGATTTACGTGTTCGGTAAAAGAGAGACTTGTTTGACTATTTATTCAGGGACATAGTGGTGTACCGGGTACTAAGGAGGAGGTCGGTATCCAGAAAAAAAATATGGCGATACTAGCAACGCAACATGCTGACTATTACACTTTCCCGTCCTGGAACCATAGTAAATAGTAGTAAGAACTTGAATAGTAAATGCATTTGGTTCAGAAATGAAACATCTGTAGATAACGAACTGTATTCAAGATCAAAGTTCATAAAGCAATACAATATAGGAGCAGAGCAAACACGGACCTCCAAAACTTCAGAGGGGGATCAGGTGCCATGAAGGAGTGAGCATCACGTGCCGACCGGTCAAACCCGCCGTGTGCTCCTTGTCATGATCGGGAATTAACGAGAAATCCGTCGTCAGTTCAGTGCATAAATAATGGACTAACAAATAGTATGAAAAACGTCAGTCAGCATTTGATTCAGTGATAAATTGTATTTGCTGACAAGGTCATTATATCGACCATAGAACTTATAAAAAATGATGACTTTAAACGAGACTGCCGATATTCTTGTTTCATCAACTTGTTTAATTTGACAGTAATTTACTTCGTTTTAGAAATTGTTCATACGTAGAGCATGCTCTTGCTTGTCGAATCAACTGAGATATGTAAAGTTGACGATTGAAAATTTAAAGTCATCACGTTTATCATAGGGTTGGTTGTTAGATTACCATTAAAGTCCTTTTCAAGTAAAATATCCAACTATGAACCAGATGTGTCAGACTCTGTGGTATCTTTTATCTCAAGCTCACCAGGATATATCGTATCGACATAAGAATGGAAATTTTCATTGTTAATTGACAATACATCGTCGATATACTCGTATCTAAATGTCGAGTTGAAAGCCACGGCAAGTGTTTTCTTTGTTTCATGCATAAGATTTTGCACAAATTCTGCTTCATGTGAACACAAACATAGGTTTGCTAATAACGGGGCGCAATTGGAACCACTGGGAATTCCAATAGATTGTTGGAAGGCCTGGTCTCCGGGAACCACATAGATATTGTCAATCAGAAACTCAAGC